GACATGTAGCAATTGTCACATGCACTCTTGCCTAATTTTGGATTGATATCTCTGTGATTACTAGCTATGAAATTAGAACATATGTGTATATATCTTGTAACCTATTCATTTCTTTTGGCTACATGTGCATAATTGTTCCCTTTATCTTTTAATAGCTTTCAAATTTCTAAATGAGTAGGCATTGGTTTATGAACTTTTAACTTATAATCTTGAGTTGCATTTTTGAGAGAGAGTCAAGTCTTGCTCCACTATGTTATTAATTATTTTCTAAGTGCATGGAGCTTTGATTTTGATGGAGCTACCATTTTTATTATGATGAAAAGGGGGAGAGGAGTGAAATGTGAAAATGAACTAATGCATGGACAAAGGGTGAGATTTTCTTGAACTCAATCCTTTTATGCATTGCTTATTTTAGATTATCATTATGCATGTTTAGTATTGTCATCATTAAAAAGGGGAAAATTTTATTCTTGATTTTGATGGATTTAAAACCAAATGTGAATGGGAATATATGCTTGGCTTAGTTTTAGTGATTGATATAATTTTGATAAATTCTCAAATATTGTGTTTGAATGTGTTTTCTTTTATATCGGAAGCCAAATTAATTGTGTAATTGTTTATTCAATATATTTCCTTTTATGGTGAACTAACAATATTTAGGTTGAGATTCCAACCCCTAAAGCAGGCCCAGAACTCCTAATGATTCTGTTTTGGGTGGAATTGCAAGGAATTCTCTAGGTTCAACTCCCAAAAGTCAAGGTGTAGAACCATACAACTTATTGTCTACTGAAGAATGAAGCAAAGGTTCCAACCCCTCATGCAAGACTTTGAACAACTTACTATACTTGAATTATATTCTTTCCATTTGTGCTCCAACCGTTATAAACCATTGATTGAGGAATTTCAAAATATAAAATCAAATTTGGAAGAATGAAGAAAACACAGAAGAAGAGCATTTAAATTGAAAATCCAAAAGAGTTTGAGCTTTCACCTTGTTCTTTGAGAAATTATTTATTTGTACAATTATTCTTGTTCTTTTTCATTGTAGCAAGTGAGAGATGTATTGGAGAAATTTTGTTAGATTTAGTAATTCATCTTTGAAGTATAGGAAGGATTGAGAGATTTGTAAGGGTTGAATAGTTCAATAGTACACATAAGTTATTGGGAAAGTGATTAGATAATCTTGTTAGATTTTAAAAAAAATCAATCTTGTGGTATAGGATTGGACTTGTGAAAAATTGTAACAAGGGGTTGAATTGTTGAAGGTAGTTAGTGTCGATAAAGTTATGGTAAACAATTGCCTTTACACTGAAAGTTGGAATCCAAAGCAAATTCTTAAGTAGGAGGCTTGAGTAGTGGATTCGGCACAAATTGTGACTGAATCACTATAAATATGTGTTTGAGTTTTGTTTTTTTAATTTTTAATTTTTGCACTTTAAATTATTTATTTGTAATTATTTGTGTGTGTTCATCATTTTGTGTTTAAAAATTACATAAAGTTTTTGAAAACTCAATTTACTCCTCTTGGGTTGCCATCATTTGGACCAAACAACTCCAACCTTGCACCTTTCTTTTTGGGTTTTGATATAATATATTATTACATCACAGCCCTAAAAACCACAAATGGGCCCTGATTCCGCCCCTAAGCCACACATTATGTATTTATGTGCATATTTTCAGAAGTTTTAGACTATTGCATGCTTTCCTTCTACTTCCTTTATCTAAATTTTTTCAACTCTCTTAAATTTCAGAATAATGGAACAAACGAATTCTTGTTTGTGGATGGTTTTGTTAACTTTTTGGACCCTGAACCTGAAACGCGGACCGGATATTTGGC